TTAATCACAAGAACTGTATAATCCACTGTAACCAGTGTCACAAAACAAAATGTGTATGAACTGCTGAATGTAAAATGAATCTGCTTGGTAAAATTTCACCCAACTGCATAATCCAACTGTACAATCCTTCCTTTAAGAACTAGGTTCTATACAGGTAAATAGATGGGTAAACAGGTTGAATGATTAGATATATCTAGGCCAAAGGGAATATACTCATAAACATATATAAGGTTGGCAGACAATATTTCTACATAAGTATTTGTATGTGCTGTAAGAATGTCAATACACATAGAACTAACAGGGGGCAAAGTTATGATAACTTCTTAGGTACAGTCAACCACCCTAATAAAGCAAGTTGTTGGCCCTGTGGGCATGGGACCATGGTCACAGGGGACATCAAGCTCAATTGGCAAAACATACAACACAAAAACATTGTTCTACATCCTACTTTGGTGAGATTTAACTGAGATCTTAAAAGCTTGCAAGTGGCCATCTAGAACAATTGGTTTCTCCTCCAGAGCAAAGAAAAATGAAGAAAACCAAAGAAGCATGGAAACAATTATTCCAAGGACCTAGTGGACCATGCAAACTTCAGTGATATGATCATGAGACCAAAACTAGATGCCTGGCTACCACTGTCAAACACTTAGAAAGGGATCAGTGCCAGAGATCCTGCATAGAATGAGAGAACAATGTGGAACAAAACTCAAAATCATGAAAACGACCAGGTTTACTGGTCTGATAGAGCCTGGTGAGACCCCTGAGACTATGGACCCTAGTTACCCTTCAGGCCTGGAATTGAATTCACTCCTGTGGCTTCCTGCCAAACAGCAGACAGGTATATAGGGTGAACATTTACTTCAGGTAGATACATGCCTTAGAATGATCAATCATGAGAGAACAGAAGTGCAGAATTTGCACAGGGAGCTAACTCAGGGGCAGGAATGCATAGGAAAGAAGGACACAGAGAAGAGGTAACTACAGGGAGGAGGTGGGAAGAGAGCTGTTACATTGTAGGGATTGCAGTAAATGTCATGAAACAAAATATGTATGAACTAGTGTATGGAAAATGAATTTGTTCTGTAAACTTTCACCCAAATCACACACTCACACACACACATACACACACACACAAAAAAAAAACCTAGGTTCTACAGATGGCTTTGATAAAGATAAGACAAGGTAGTTTCACACACACATACACACATATACACTACATATATATGTGTGTCCATATATGTGTGTTTGTATGTTGACATATAAAAATACATACATAAAATTGTATATATATAAAATCATTGTCAGTTAACATTGAATGAATTCTAGGCTGAAGACCAATTTAGAAATCATCAATGTATATATTGCTATTAAGACCCCACCCTACTACAAAGGAGAAGAGTAACCACAAAGGAGATGTGAAACAACCAATTATCTGAAGAAACACTAAAAGAATGTAGTTTCCTAGGAGCCATGTAAAGAAAATCTATAAAAGAAAGGCTAAGTAATGCCTTCATATCCATTCATTCAATAAATATTAAGTACCTATCATGTGACAGGGAGGCAGGAATGCCTAAGCCAGAAGGACACAGGGAAAGGGCAACCACAGGGAGGAAGTGAGAGGAGAGCTGTTACACTGAAGGGAACATAACCAGTGTCACAAAACAAAATGTGTATGAACTGCTGAATGTAAAATGAATCTGCTTTGTAAAATTTCACCCAAATTACAATAAATAGTTTAAAAAAGAAAAAAAAAGGGCGAGAGCAACAGATCTAGTAGATGAAATAAGATAAAGAGTAAGAATTAAACATTAGATTAAACAATTTGGAAGTTAATAGGGATTCTGGCAAGAAAAGTTTCCATGGACAGATAAAACCAGATCCTTACTGAAATAGATTTAAGAGAGACTAGGAATTGCTCAAACTGGAGGATAACGACAATTGCTTGATTTTTAACCTCATATTTTTTCCAAAAAATGAAAACCTCAAAAAGAAACATAAATAAAAACGTGTATGATTCATGCCTTCAGCATTACCAGCCAGTATTATTAAGATGCAGAGAACTCCACAATCCTTAAGTAAACAGAGGAAAAATGAAATACCAAATTCCAACAGAGCTCTAGCCACTTCAAACCTGTGAATGCAGAGTGGGGCAGGAAAGGGTAAGAACTCCATGGGGGAGAAAAAGAAGTAGAAGGAGCAGAAGACAATGAAACAAAGTCATATCTGCTCAGAGAAAATTCAACATTTAGTGCCAAAATATTGAACACAAATCTCAAACTTGGTAGTTCATAACATTGGCAAAGGGAGGGGGCTTGAAAGTGAGTAGAATCAGAAGTGGCAGTCTCAAATAAGCATTGCTTCTAGAGGAGTCAGATAAATTTTTAAAGAGTGGTGAGTGAAATTTGGAGATGTAGTAGTGATGAAAAGAAAGAAATAAGAAAAATTAACTATCTTCCAGAAATAAAAATGAAACACTTAGTTCTAGACAGCTATTACGTTGTGGGAATTTGCAGTCAATGTCATGAGACAAAATGTGTATGAACTGCTGTATGGAAAATGAATGTGCTCTGTAAACTTTAACCCAAATCACAATAACAATTTTTAAAATAATAATAATAACTGCTTAGTTCTTGAATCCTGCCTGTAAAAGGACTACAAAAAAAATTGAACAATTTTCATACAAAACTATAAGAAAAAAAACAAACTATGAATCAAAATAGTTCATATATTGAAAATTCTCTCCCAAACTACCAACATTGATTTAAAAGAAAATAGTAGCAGAAAACTCCAAACTCATTCAAAGGAATATGAAAAACACCTTTGTAAAGAAATTTTACAACTAAGAAGAGAAATAGTAAGGGAGGGTGGATTTTTTAAAAAAAAAAAAAGGAAGAAATTTTTTAAAGAATTAGTTAAACCCAAGAAAGAAAGAGAAAAAAAAAATCAATATTGTATCAGAAATGAAGATTCACAAGTTGCTCAGATGGGAATAGAACCTAATAAAAATTTAACAAGAAGTATGGCAGGGACAGAAAAACAATTAAGAAAATGAGAATAAGGTATTGGAAAGTGAAATTAGACCACTTATTGAACAAAGATGGTTCAATTATATGTAGTACTAGGGAGCTCTGGTAGCATAGTGGCTAAGACACTTTGCCTGCTAACCAGACGGCTGGCGGTTCATACCCACCAGCCACTCCTCGGAAGGAAGGTTGGGCAATCCTACTTCCGTAGTGATACTGCCTCGGAAACCCAAGGAGGGGTCGCTATGAGTCGGGGCCGACTCGACGGCACATAACAACAACAACAACAACAAAGTACTCACTGCAATCAAGTCGGATCTGACTCACAGCGACCCCCTCCTTGGGTTTCCGAGGTAGTGCCTAAGGCTAACCAGAAGGCTGGCAGTTCAAACCCACCAGCCACTCCCAGAAGGAAGGTTGGGCAATCTACTTCGGTAGTGATACTGCCTCTGAAAGCCAAGGAGGGGTCGCTATGAGTCGGATCTGACTCGACATCAGTGAGTGAGTGAGTCTTTTAATAAAAAAGGAATTCTGGTGACATAGTACCTGTTCTGGTTACCTAGTGCCTCTCTGACAAAAATATACCACAAATGGGATGGCCTTAACAAACAGAAGTTTATTCTTACTATTTGGAGGCTTTAAGTCCAAGTTCAAAGTGCCAGACTCTAGAGGCTGGGTGAAAGCCCCTCAAGCTTGGGGTCCAGCTCTGCCTTCTGCTCCCAGCCCACTGGAGCTAGAGGCATTTCTTCACTCAAACAGCTGCTGGCTGCTGAGGCTGAGAAGCCCCAAGGTTGACAAGTAAAAAGGCACAGTCCTGATGTTACCAAACCACATGGCAGGCCATTAACTTAAGTCCATTGTAAGTCCCAAGGTTGGCAGAGCATAGCAGACTGCTGAGCAATGACACGGCTACATGCAGGGTCCAAGCATGCCATAGGCTAGAGACCATTCCCAAGGCTTCTGCTTAAATACAGGAAATAGACCACATAACCAAAGGCAGCTACTCAGCTGCTCCCAGTAGATTCCACCATGGAGTTGATTACCAATCTCATCATGAGGAATACTACATCCAGTTGCCCAGCCAAGTTGACATACAAACATAACCATCACAATGCCTAAGGCATTTGATTGCTAACCAGAAAATTGGCAGTTTAAACCCACGAGCCACTCTGTGTAAGGAAGATGGAACAATCTACTTCCATAAAGACTTGCTGCCTTGGAAACCCAAGGAGGGGTCACTATGAGTCGGGTCTGACTTGATGGCACATTTAACAACCACAATTGCTATGGAAGTAGATTGCCCAATCTTCCTTCTGAGGAGTGGCTGGCAGGTACCAACTGACAATTCTTTCATACTAATTTGAAAAGGAAGAAAGGGCAATGAAATGTGAGAAATAAAAATTTTAAAAAATATTAAACTACTTAAATTCTTGATGTATTTTAAATGAAATATATTTAGTTTTTATTGTCACTCAAAAACTGAGATGTTTTCTATTATTTGTTAAGTAGCCTAAGGCATTTGACTGCTAACCAGAAGGCTGGAGGTTCAAACCCATCAGCCACTCCTTAGAAGGAAGGTTGAGCAATCTACTTCCATAGTGATACCACCTCGGAAACCAAAAGAGGGGTAGCTATGAGTCAGAACTGACAGGAAAGCAGTACGTTTGGTACTTGGAAAAGGAGAACATAAATTTAAAATATCAATAATTTTCCTGGGGGAGGTTATTTGGTTATCAAAATCACAATGTTTTGACCTAATTTTAAGAAAAAGTGAATATTTTTTAATAATACAGAATATATTCATTAGACTTAGTTCAAATGATGCTATGTATATGAACATGATATAATGAAATAAAGTTTTCTGAAATCTGAGTGGTAAAATAACTGTCATTTAAAATTATCCATATTTCATTGTAGTATAAAAGTAACAAAAAAGGAAAAAATTTAAGTAAGAACCAAAATTTACATTTGTTTTAGGTCACTTCAGGGAAATTTAATAAGAAAACTTCTTCCTGATGGCTTCAAGAAATACCATGATCTTCAGAAGCTGTAAGAAAAAATTAAATTCCTATTAGTAAAATAATTCACTACCAGGTTTTTTTTGGCATATCTGTTCTTCTCACTTTTGCAGACACTGTTTAAATCTAATCCCACTTCAGAGAATTATTTAGCTGTTAGCTGGAGACTACAGGTAACATTTTTCCTGAGTTGTTCTGGAAGCTGTTCTAGAAAGATCTCAGATGTGTTATCTCTCTAAAGAAACTAGAGTATGTGCACCATGAATCCTCTTACTACATTTGCCAAAAATGGAGCCCGGTGAGAGCTTCTTACTTTCTGACTTTATTCTAGCAGTGAAAGCTTCATTGCCCACTTTAGTAGAGGTGACGATCTTTTGCCAGATCTGCCATCAAGATGAAATAGTGAAGAATTTTCTTCCCTGTGCTTGCAAATTCAGACTCCACTTATGATAGTAAGTGGTTGTGGTTTGAAACCTCGGAGCATGTTATTTTGGGGCTTGACTCCATTTTCATATCTGCCTTGTAGGCTGAGTCTTATTTTGGCCTTGAGAAACTTCCTTTTGGTTTAGGGTTGTTTATTCACTTTTAAATTCCACAATAACCCAGGTGATGTTTACCTGTTTTTTAGGTCAACTTCGTAACTAAATCATGTACATGATCTTTTGGGTTTAGATATTCTGTGCCTAAATCTCATTTTGCTTTTCATACTTGTATTGGTTTTAGTTTGGGTTTTATGCTAGAGAAATCTGGTACATAAATGATATCTTCACATTTTTGTTTTAAATAACAAAATCAGAAGACAAATTAATCCATTTAATTCAATGAAATGTCCTGAAAACCTAATCAGCAGAGTAGGTTAAATATATTTCATATTTGAAAAGAAAAATTCAAATGATAATGACTTTCAGAACTTGATTCTAAACATTTCTCATTCAACAGAGAAGAGTTTTTCAAAATCAGGCATGATACAAAACTTCAAGAGGTTACTTCCTTACTCAATTTTCTAATTTCTGGAAGATGAAGAATTTTTCTGATCTGTAGCACCACCTCATGTCCACATGTGTAAAAGGAATTATGAGTATGAATCTGAATATCAAAATACAGTCTTAAATAACAAAGTAGTTTAGCATTTTGCATAATAAACATTGAACAACATTCCTGAGCAGCCAAACAATAAAATGGTCAAAATAACCTAATTACAAAATTTTCCAAATACTGTTATGAAAGGTACAACTTAAACAAATAAATAAATAAACAAATAAATTAATACATGTTAAAGTCTTTCTGTGTATTAGTAAGAAAGATGCATTGCCTACTCCATGATTGGGTCCCTAGCATACTCTGTGAGATTGTTAGATCCATAGTAAACAATATTTAGAATCCTAGTTTCATTATATTGCATATTGGAGAAATAAATACTCTCTTACAGTCAAAATTTCTAATTACCTGAGAGTTCATTTGTTTTGATTTCTTACTTGTTACTCCTAATATATGTAACAGATTGCATATAAACCTGTTGTTGTTGTTGTTACATGCCGGCGAGTCAGACTCGACTCATAGTGACTAGTCGGACTCGACTCATAGCGACCCCTCCTTGGGTTTCCAAGGCAGTGTCACTATGGAAGTAGATTGCCCAACTTTCCTTCCGAGGAGTGGCTGGTGGGTTTGAACCGCCAGTCTTCTAGTTAGTAGTCAAGTGTCTTACGTACCTTGCTACCAGAGCTCCTCGCATGTAAACTTAGGACACTGTAAAAGAGGTCAATGACCTTCACTCAGAACAAGAAGTCAGGCTGGAAGCCTTTATATATCATTCCCCAAAACCTGGATCAAGTACATTAGAAGTGCAAAGTTTTCAGTGGTTACAATTGATGCAGTTACCTGTGCTCCTGTCCATTTCCTTTGACCTCCAGTTAACTCAAGGGCAAACTTCCATGTTACTTTAGGTAACTATGTAACCCTGCATCCTGTATTGACATTATAGTCTAATTTATATTTTTCTAGCCCTGATACTTTTTAATTATATTATTTTTTTCCTTTTTCATATATACTCCTTATATGCTGCTTCAAATTCTTTTTTGGAACAAGGCTGGGCGTGTACAATAAATAAAATAAAAGTTATTTTTGTTGGCAGGTTTTTAATTAACATGGGATATGGTTTGGGGCATTTGGAATGTCACACACTTGTAATTTTAGTAGTATTGTGTTGAGTACTTATAAGTTTGAGAAAGTATAACAAAGAGATGTTAAAAAATGTGGCTACTAGGACTACCTGATTAGTGAGTGCTACACTATGCATTAAAGTTTTATTCCTAGAAAGTTTAAATATTAATTTTTAGCTATTATATGTTTGCCTTTATAATGAGAATTTCTAAGCAACTAGCCAATTATATATGAATTTTATATCAAACAAAATGATGTGAATATCCAGTCTCAGTAATTTATGTCATTATGTTTGCTTTTTTAATAATCATTTTTACAGGTATCTGCAAAACAATAAAATTAGATATATATCCATATATGCTTTCAGAGGGCTGCACAATCTTACTAAACTGTAAGTACTTGTGCCAATTAATTTACCCATTCCACAGTGGTCTGTCAGCTTGACCCTTTACAACCCACCAGTCCGGCTGCATGGCGGCTAAGAGCTTGAGATTTTGAGTCAGATAGGCATGGACATCTGAGTCCTGACTTCATCATGTACAGAATCAACTCATTAGACTAGTCCAAATGATACTATGAATATGAATGTGATATAATAAAGTATAATGACTTTGGGCGATTTATTTTCCTTTCTAACCATTGTTCCCACTACTATAAAACAAAAATTATAATAGTACCTACCTCAAAGGCTGCTGTAAGGACCAAATGGAGGTGGAGGGGGAATTTATATAAATACTGCACCTAGCCCACAGTAAGAACTCAGTATATATTAGCCATGGTAACAGAAATGATTATTGAATAAAGTTAAAATGTCAAAAAGCCTCATGGGAATATTTATATAGGAAAATACTCGGATTCCCCAGTTAATATTTTCCATTATTCCTGCTTTTATCAATATGTAATATATAAAGTACTGAAGAATAAAGAGCAAAGCTTTTAAAAATAGATTTTCTTAAAGTTTCATTGAATTCTATAAGAAGATGAACCCAGTCTCCTAGAAATAACTGAATAGAAGTAGAACCCAAAATTATGTAAATAAACGACTCCCTGTATTTCCATTTCTGTCCCCTTGCTTTTAATACCATTTTCTATTCTAACCCAAAAACCTCAATTCAATCAAATTGTGGTATCAGAGTTTGGGACTGAGTTAAGGCGGTCCCCTAATAAATGACTAGCAAAATGGACAAAGGCCGTAAGACTTAGAGCCTTAACAGTAACCACTCTACCCATATCCTCCTCCTGTCTATCCCATCCCTAGCCATTTATGTCTTAGCAAAGTGCCCAAAGACAATATTGAACTTATTCTCGTCTGGATCCTAACTATTTTTCTCTCTAACCTCCCATTAATCTATTCAAAACTTAATAAACATCATCTGCTTACTTTAATGTTCAAGACACATAGAGGAAACTCTTGAAAGGTAGGACATAGCTGGGGAGTAAATTTAAAGGGTCCTCCATCTCTTATTTCATAGCAATGGAATGTTGCTTGGGTTATCGTATACTTCCAGTTTTTCACGAGTAATCATTAGATACTTGTCATTATTCATCCAAATGTATTCATTAGCTCTTACGTGTAGAAGTTCTTCAGCTAGATACCACAGAAATAGAAGAGAAATCAGACACAAAGCCTTCAAACAGCTTACACCTTAGTATTCCTAATGGAGCACTATCTTAACCCTGGGGGAAAGCTTATGCCTCTTGCTCTCTGTTTACCATCTAAGGTGGGCAAACAGTACCAATGTACATTCAGCAATTACAGAACAAAGAAAGAGGTTCTTTAATTAAGTCTTAAAGCTGTGTTGTTCAGACAATTGCTATTACAATTCACCAAAAGGAGTCCAGAACATTGAAGGGTGGCTCTGAAAAAAAGGAGTTTAAAAAAAAAAAAAACAAACATCTGCCATGGAGTTGATTATGATTCATTATGACACCTGTGTGTCCGAGTAGGATTATGCTTCATAGGGTTTTCAATAGCTGACCTTTTCAGAAGTAGATCATCAGGCCCTTCTTCTGAGGTGCCTCTGTATAGACAAATCTCCAACCTTTTAGTTAGCAGCCATGCAAGTGAATTATTGCCACCACCCAAGGACTCCCAAACAATGAATAAGCCTGGGCTAAACAGATGAGCATAGGCTGCAGGAGTGGATCCAATGCCTTTTACCTGCTTGGGGAGGAGCTGTCTCTTGGCTTTTAAGGGAACCTTCTGAGATACTAAAGGCAAAGTGTTGAAGCTATTCCATACACCTTCCTGAGCCCAGCTGGCACTCCATGTTTGCAAGGGAGGCAAGGAAATGGGTCTAACAGTGGCATCATCCCTTGCTATCCTTAGGCTCAGTGCTGCAAAGTCCCCACCCCCAGCAAAGCTAGGTGTTTTCTCCTCTACGATGACAGAGCAACCATGCTTCAAGGTTCTCTTTTCTCCTATGTCGTAACCTGTTCTTAGGAGTCTCCCCTCTAGATAATAAGACCATAACATATCTAGTACAGTGCCTTACAGCAGGCACTCAGAAAAATTTGATAAATGAACAGAAAAATTTGATAAGGGAATGGCTACATGAGCAATTAATTAGGTTCAGTAATAACCTAATAATAATAATATGGAACAATAGTAATATGGAAAACTTTGAAGCTAGACATGCTAAGGGAAATGATAAACTTTCAGAGTCAATAGCAGAGTGTTATGATGCGATTCATATATAGGAAAATTTAAGGTGGATTTTTCTTTTTAAGTTTCTTTATTGCAAAACATTAAGAAGGTACAATTATATTCTATTCACTTCTCCATTTTCAGGTATCTCAGTCAAAACAGAATAACCTTCTTGAAGCCAGGTGTTTTTGAAGATCTTCACAGATTAGAATGGCTGTATGTTGTTTTATGTGGCATTTTATCATATTAATTATGTAATCTAAAAGTATACAAATGAATCAATTTCTTTTCTTCTGGCTGGCAGAATAATTGAAGACAATCAGCTCAGTCGAATTTCCCCACTAACATTTTATGGACTAAAGTCTCTTATTCTCTTGTAAGTACTAAACTAAAGCAAATATTTCCATTGAAGGAAAGGACATGAATAAAAACTACTGCATCAAGTTTAATAGTATTAAATTTAAAATTATTAAAACCCTTAAAAGGCTTTCTCAGCTGAAAACAATTTCTTCACCATATTCTATAAGGTTGGTCTAGAGTTTTGAAAATCTGAACAATTTTATAAGGCCTTCTGTCTTCTACAATGTCAGTCTATCAAAACTGACATTGTAGAAGTCATGGTGTCATATTTTATGGAAGTAAACCATTAGTGTTCTATATAAATCTTGGTAAAGAGAACTAAAATTCATTTTAAATTTTTTCCACTACACACTGTTGAAGGGCATAGGCTTTATTTCAGTTCCTAACATTGCTGCTCCTTCTCAGATTGTAACTAACACTTGTCAAAACTGTATTACTAATAACCACATAAATATAACAGCACTTACAGAGAAAAATTAGGAGTAGATAGAAGATAGCTAACGCAATTGTTTTCATGGTTTCGTAATCATAATAATACCACATTTAACTTAAGATGAGAAAAGGACCAGAAAAAAATATGACTTCTTTTGTGTCATCTCTTTTTCAGAGTGCTGATGAATAATTCCCTCACTCGTTTGCCTAATAAGCCCTTTTGTCAGCATATGCCAAGACTCCATTGGCTGTAAGTTGTATCTCTTTTTAAAGTCAATTAGTTTTTCTATTTTACCTAATTCATTTTGGATATTAGGTTTTCAATAATGATAACTTGTTAACTTCATATTACATTTCCTCACATTATTTTAGCATGATTTTATACTCAACATCCATCCCCATTACTTAAACTAACTCCTCTAAACTCTCACCCAAATAAAATAACTCAAAGAAAATCTTTGGAGTCAGGAAGAAAAAAGACAGAAGGTATACTATCTATGGAACATCCCACCTTTCCCCTTTTCATCTATTCAACTATTAACTTGCTACAGAAATTGACTTTTATTTCATTCCTAAATTCTAAATAATGACAATCTGATATTTAGTATTTATTTTTATAATTTCATCACAATAGAATGTGTTGCATAGAATTTTTTACATAGTAGTTTTGCTGGTCGGATTGAGTATCATCTACTCTATCAGAGTTCAGGTATCTAGTAAATTTGCCTATTTAGATTACAGATGACAATGAAAAATTTTTTAAAAAATAATAATTCTTAAAAACTTCAATAAACTGCATATACATTATTTTATTCATATGAAAACTCCTACAGTCTCCTTTTTTGGAAATTCTCAAAAGGTCAACTGTTTGATTTCTAAGCTTATAGATTAAGTGAAACTAACAACCTGACTGGAGTCCCTGGGTGGCACAAACAGTTAAAGCTCTCAGCTAGTAACTAAAAGTTTGGTGGTCCGAATTTACTGATAGGTGCCTCAGAAGACAGGCCTGGCAATCTGCTTCTGAAGAGTCACAGCTGTGAACACCCTGTAGTGCACATTTCTATTCTGCAAAACATGGGTTCACCATGAGTTGGAGCTGACTTGATTTCACTGCAGCTGGAACCAGAAACATAAATCTGATAATAAAGTATAATATGCAAATGTTATGAAAAGTAGATGTAGTAATTTAAAATATACTTATTTGGAACTAATTGCAAGAAGACATTAAACAACACAAAGAATGACATTTTAATGCTACTGTGTGCAATTTCCTATAAAATATATGAGTCTATATATACCAAATAGCATTCATACAACAACCAAAAACACATAGGAAAATAGACATCCATAAACAGTAAGAAATAATAATCCACTTCTTTCAGTGTATGAAATTTCAGGGGCTACTAAACGATACAGTCAATAAGACAGCTTTAATTGATGTATATCAAACTATACTGTCCCTCTCTACCTCTTCTCAATAACAAAACTGATTTACTTAGGGCAACAATGTGCCTAGCCACAAGTCTACATTTCCAGCCTTCCTTACCTCTAGATATGATCATGTGACTGAATTCTAATCATAGAAATGTAACTAAAAGTAGGGACATCTGGGAAGTCTCCTTGATGAGTAAGAGGCAGACCCTTTCCTTCTTCCTCATCCAGAAAAAAAAAAACAGATACAATGATTCAGCTTTAAATAATGAAAACAAGGACATATGCACAGTGAAGATGAAAGATCTGGGCTTTCTAATAAATTTGTGAAATTATTATGCCAGCCCTGGACAGCCAAACTCTCCCCTGCCGCCCCGCCTTTTTTTTTTCTGGAGGAAAAAAACTCTTTTGTATTTATGTCCTTATACCCACTGCTATCAAGACAATTCTACTCATAGTGAGCCACATTGCATTTCCAAAGCTGTAAATCTTTATGTAAGTAAATTGCCTCATCTTCTTCCCATGGAGCAGCTGGTGCATTTGAACCAACCTTCTGGTTAGCAGCCAAGTGGCTTACCTACTACACCATCATTCAAAACTCACTGTCATTGAGTCAGATCTGACTCATAGTGACCACTCTTTGGGTTTCCAAGGCAGTATCACTACAGAAGCTCCTTTATTCCATTATATTATGCCTACATACACCCGAAAAGATGTCACTTTGAAGATTAAGGTGACTGACCCAAACCATGGTATTTTCAATAGCCTCATATGCATGTGAAAGCTGGACAAAGAATAAGGAAGAACAAAGAAGAATTGATGCATTTGAATTATGGTGTTGGTAAAGAATATTGAACATACCATGGACTTCCAAAAGAACAAACAGGTCTGTCTTAGAAGAAGTACAGCTAGATTGCTCCTAGAAGCAAGTATGGCAAGACTTCGTCTCTTATACTTTGGTCATGTTTTCAGAGGGAACCAGTCCCTAAAGAAGGATATCGTGCTTGGTAAACTACAGGTCAGCCAAAAAGGCAACCTCAACAGATGGATTGACACAGTGTTGTAACAAAGGGCTCAAGCACGGCCACGATTGTGAGGATGGCACGGGACTGGGCAGTGTTTCGTTCTGTTGTACATGGGGTAATTATGTGTCAGAACCAACTTAATGGCACCTAACAACATATGTACCTATACATAGCACAAACAGATATAAACTTAAATGTAAAGAATGTCCAAAGAACATTCACCCAAATTGAACACTTATTTTAGGGTAAACACATACACAAACCAAATTCAAGAAAGAGATGGAAGGATTAGCCCAAAGCAGGAGAAGGGCCATCTCTTCCTGAGACTAGAAGAAGATGAGGTGCATGTACAAGTTTATGAATGTAGAGACAGCAAGGCAAGAGCTCCCCTCTTTACCAACCTCAATTTTTTCTGTGAAATAGTAGCCAGAAATGTTTAAGAGACTGGGAAGAAAGTGGAGATTAAGGAAATTTGCCTGTTTAGAATGCCACTGTAGGATAAGAGAAGAAATTGAGAGAAACAGGCAAGATTATAAGTATTTGGGATTTTTGTTGTTTTACTTCAGGTCAAAGAACCACATTTCATTTCAGCTAGTTCTAACATATTTAAAGGGAAAAATAAATGGTTAGGTTCAGAGGCTCATTAAATGAGAAAAGTGGTCTAGACATACAGTTCCAAAAAAAAAAAAAAAAAAAAAAGCTCTCTGTCCACTTCATTAGGACTTGGAGCTAAGGAGTTAGAAGCAGGTTTTTATTTTATATACCTCAGCTAACATGAGTGCTGCAAACCCGATCCTTGCGTATCAAAGGACTAAAAACCTCTAATTCTAGGAAGAATGTCAATGCAAATTTACAATGTGGTTAACCTAAACAACATAATTTGTGCCAAGATGTGTGCCTACTACTGATTTTTAAAATTAAATAATACTGCCTTAAATATTTTTGTTAGCTTAACAGAAAAGAAAGAAAGAAAGAAAAATAGTTACATGAGAAGCTAAACAAGAACATCAATTCATCGAAAGGGTATTTGCGAGGCTTAAGAGAACATCACCACCTGGTGGTAGAGTCATGGTGACAATCAACAACAAAATAAATGAAAATGACCAGTCTCTGCCATGGACATCATACATTCTAAGGGATGCCAAGAGATTCGGTCAAAGCTAATATCCAAAAAAAAAAAGAAAAGAAAGAAAGAAGTAAGGTTTTCTTAAAAAATAGAATAACAGAAAATTTTCTTTAAAAGGGTAGTGCAGATTCAGGATTTAAGATTATAATATAATATCCTATACAGTACTGAAATCTTATCTATAAAATTCTTGAGATATGGCATATTCTTCTGGTATCAAGAAGCTTATTCTGTGGACATCAGAGATTGTTAGAAATTTTAAGCTTAAATTTCAAATGTGTTGTGTCTTCCAACCAGTAAATCTGACTTTACCATCTAATGCAGCCATCTACTGAAAGGATACCATCTAATGAAATACCACCTAATGAAAGGATACAAGGTTGTATCCTTTCACCATACTTATTCAATTTGTATGTAGAGCAAATAATACAAGAAGCTGGACTATATGAAGAAGAAAATGACACAATCTTGCTTGCTGAAAGTGAAGATGACTTGAAGCACTTACTGATGACCATCAAAGAGTACAGTATTCAGTATGGATTACACCTCAACATAAAGAAAACAAAAATCTTCACAGCTGGACCAAAAACAACATCACAATAAGTGGAGAAACCATTGAAATAGTCAAAGATTTCGTTTTACTAGATCTACAATCAACACCCATAGGCACAGCAGTCAAAGAATTAGATGGCATATTGCAGCAGGCAGATCTGCTGCAAAAGACCTCTTTAAAGTGTTGAAAAGCAGAGATGTCACTTTGAAGACTAAGGTACACCTGGCCAAGCCATGGTATTTTCAATAGCCACATATGCATGTGAAAACTGGACAATGAATAAGGAAAACCAAAGAACAACTGATGCATTTGAATAGTAGTGTTGGCTAAGACAATTGAAAATACCATTGACTGCCAGAAGAGTGAACGAATCTGCCTTGAAAGAGGTACAGCCGGAGTACTCCTTAAAAATGAGAAGGGTGAGATTTTGTCTCTCTTACTTTGGTCACATTATCAGGAGATATTAGTCCCTGAAGAAGGATATCATGCTTAGTAAAGGAGAGGGTCAGTGAAAAAGGGGAAAACCCTCAACAAGATAGATTGACACAGTAGCTGCAATGATGGGCTCAAGCATAGATCTACCAAAGATTGGACTTAATGATGTTATAGTAAGCCAAACAAGGGTTTTCTCAGTGACAAAAGGTTGAGACTTTTCCCTGGAAAATATGAGGAGGTAGGGGCTAAATACTGTTTATGAAGTAGTATTATCTGTAGCAAAGTAACGTCACACTGCTTAGGGAACTGTAACTCTGACCAAATGTGCAATATGGTTCATATTAAGACAGCTGATAAATATCTGTTAATGAAGTAGCTATATACTATCATAAAGATTTTCAATCTGACTTCTTACTCTCTTCACCTTTCTCAGGATAACATACATGCCCATATGAACATGTGACACACATAAGTCTCAATACATTTTTACTTGTTATTGTTGTTTGCTGTCGAGTCGGCCCCGACTCATAGCGACCCCTCCTTGGGTTTCCGAGGCAGTTATCACTACGGAAGTAGGATTGCCCAGCCTTCGTTCCGAGGAGTGGCTGGTGGGTTTGAACCGCCAGCCTCCTGGTTAGCAGTCAAGTGCCTTAGGCACTATGCTACCAGAGCTCTTTATATTTTTACTAGTAACACAGAAAAAGAAACATTAAATATGTATACTAATTCAGCTAATATATAAATGGCTACAAATATGAAATAAACTGTATATTTAAAAAAGGTATTTTATTAGAAAGGCAAATCATTCTTAACCAATTTATTTCTGCTTGTAGTTAAAAGCAGCTTTGTTTTGTTTTGTTCTTATGTTCCAGGGACTTTGAAGGCAACCATATCCATAAGTTAAGAAATTTGACTTTTGTTTCCTGCAGTAATTTAACTGTTTTGTAAGTAATATCTTTTCCTTTTTAAGTAATGTTATATCCTTTACAAGCAAAATGAGTTATCTATGTGGACAGAAGGTAGCATAAGCATGCATATAATTCCAGCGAATGTTCACTCTCAACTTGAAATTTTTAGAAAGTGAAGTACATGGTCCAAATTATTCAAAAGTAAACCGAATATAATCACAGATTCACAACATACATGAATTATCACAATGGCTGGCACTCTATTATCTGAGACTCATTTTAATGGAAAAAAATTCTCACTGAATGTCAAGAATCTGTCTTTGGATCTGTTTCAGAAGCACTAAAATAAAGTGTGTTGAAGAGTGTTTTGCAAATTATTGCTGAAAAGATTGTTTTTCTTTATAATTATGCAAAAATTAATTATAATAAAAATGAAAGATAATGCTGAAGAATTCCTGGACCTCTGTAAACATGCTTATGAACACCAGGATTAATTTTAGAATATTATTGAATGTAATTTCCCCTTAAACCTCTTTGGCATATTTTAATGCACTTTGCCTCTTCTGTGAAAGTGAAGAAAGCTGGGAGTTCCTTTAATATGAAAATACAACTATCTCATTCCCATTTATTTTCCTAGAATAATGTTTTTTAAACTGTAGGTTGCAACTTACAAATGAATGATGAAAGCAAGCTCTATTTAGTATGTCCTGACCAGCATTTTCTTTAATGAAATAGAATAGAATTGAAATGAGTACTAAATATCAGAGTGCAGTGCAAATAAGAAAGATATTGTTTCTTGAATCTTGGGTAGTATGGGTGTGTATATTTTACGTCCCAATGTAAAATAATTTTTTTACTGTGGGTTGTCTATGAAAATGTTTGGAAACCATCATCCTAAAGTGCATAGGACCCCTTGCATAAGCAATGAAATAGCTACCACTGCTGTGGCAATGTATTTTCTCCAATATGTCCCACATTACAATGGGTTCAAAGCTACCAACAAGTTCAGCAATCTTCACATGCAGGGTGCTTTATATTAATTACACAAAATAGCTCATGCAATGATTAAACTACATGATGAGAAAAATTCATATCACTGAACTATACATGTGAAGATTGTTGAAATGTTTTGTTATTTATGTATTTATATGCTATATATAGGAGCTCTGGTGGCGTAATGCCTAAAGCGTTTGACTGCTAACCAGAAGACTGGCGGTTCAAACCCACCAGCCACTCCTTGGAAGAAAAGTTGAGCAATCTACTTCCGTAGTGATAAAGTTTCAGAAACCTAAGGAGAGGTCACTATGAGTCAGATCCGACTTGACGGCAGTGGGTATACTATATATACATATTATATGCTATATACTAATATATTTATATACTTCAATTAAAAAAAAAAATTGCTCATGCTAATTGCCGAAAGGAAACCAAATTGCATCTTAAGGACACAGATCAAAAAAAATCTGAAAAAAATTAGAATTTATCTTGTGCTCTACTTGTATTTGTTTTCAAGGAAACCTCTGTATGAAGAAATCATTTGTGTTTTATGTGTACATATTTAAATATCTTTTAATAGCATATAAATTTCAAGAGCAACATATAGGAAACTATTAACAGTAGTTTGCTCTTGCAAGTAAGACTGAAAACTTTGGAATAACAATTGGTGTATTTTGCTTTACGCCATTCTGTGTGATGTGAATTGTTGTTCGGTTTTGTTTTGTTTATTTTTGTTTTGTTTTTTTACCATGAGTTTGTATTATTTTGTAATAAAAATAATGTTAAGTACATTTTTCACCTTAAAAAAAAGAAAAGAAAGAAATCATTTGTGGGTTTCCTCTTGGCAGGTGCGTGCGCTTTTCTGGTGCAGGGACACTGACAGGAGGTGGTAATGTTTTGGAGTGCTGAGAGGAATTAAGTACTTAAGGATGGGACAAGGTCAACTTCCAGGCATGTTGCAAAATATTTAAAGAATTGGAAATCCATTAAAACTTTTCTATGAGTTAGTCATTTATACTAGTATAGAAATGAACTGTCAAGAGTTACAATATGAGTCAACTTCCCAAACTAAACATTTTCTGAATTGGTCCATCTTAGATTAGAGTTCCTTAGGCAGGTCCACTGTAATTACATCAACTAGCAAATGTATATGAGTGCTATAGCATGTATGGTATTTTTTTAGAAGGACATGAAAAGATGACTCTAAAACACCTCCCAATCAGCTGCATGATATTCAGTCTATATTTGCAAGAATTGTAGTTTTCACTATTTCTATTGCAAAGCTTTTCACTATGTACTTAGCAATTCGAATTATATTTTATTTCTATCATCATCATTAAAAGATTTGGGTAATTTAAGATTAAAATTAAATTGGATCATTTCTCATACTATTTCAAAATATCTTGATGTGAAAATTACATTATATATAATTATTTTTGTTTTTGCAGATTAATCACTTTTCTAATAACTCATGTATCAATTATCTCAAGAAGTTACAATGTGCTTTTCTTTACACTTTCAGGATAATGAGTAAAAATAAAATTAATCACATAAATGAAAATAGTTTTGCATCTCTTCAGAAACTAGATGAATTGTAAGTGTGATTAAACATATATCATTAAGATTTTTCACTCTACTGCTTTATTTCATATTTGTTAGACATTATATACTTTCATATGTTTAAGCACTACTAATTATCTCCATTTTTCCAAGCATTACTTATGTAGCCCATGGCTGATGGGGTCACCCTGAGTAAGAATTGACTTTATGACAACTGGTAGTGATAGGAATTCAGATATGTTACAGAAATATACACAAAAGAAAAATATAAAATAAATATTTGATGGAAGAAGGGTAAAGGAAACACAGATGTAGGAAAAGAATAGAGCCAGGGTAAAATTAATATAGAAAACCCTTTCTACTCTGGTCTGTCTCTAAAGAAGAACAGCAAACTTGACTACAAGCTTCCTAAAAGCTTATGATTCAGAGATGGTAAGACAAAAATGTTTCACTTTGCTGATTCTGAAACCAAAGGATAATTTTTACCCTGAATCCTTAAATTAGAAACTGTCATGGGTAATATCCCTCCCTAAATATTGGAAGATATCATTCAAACAGCTATTTCTATAATGTCCCTTTTTCAAGGTCAGAGACATTATCCCAAAGATCATTAAAACAATTCTAGGATAAACCAGAACCATTTGGCCCAAGTATAGAGTAGATAATGATTAGGATAAAATATAATGAGAACAATGGATGAACAACATGTCTTTCAGGCAATTTTTATATTTTTAGTATTATTCTTCTCAATTGGGTTTTTGCTAGTTTGACTAACAACTAGTTTGATTTTGTGTTCTCTAGAAAGACTCTAGAATACAAACAGAGTTATATGCTTTGATAGCGTAGTGCCTAAGGCACTGCTAACCAGAAGGCTAGCGGTTCAAACCCACCAGCCACTCTTCAGAAGGACGAGGGGGCAATCTACTTCCGTAGTGATACTGCCTTGGAAACCCAAGGAGGGGTCGCTATGAGTCGGGTCTGACTCAACAGCACATAACAACAACAACATGCTTTGACAATTAGCAGTGTAAAGCATTGATTTATTTTTAAAAAATTTTATAACAATTAAAGAACATAACTGCAGTGCTTCCTTGAATACCTCACCTGGACACAGAGGCTGGTGGAGGGAATACATATGCACAAACAGGAACACTTCTCAGAAAATACTCTGCTCCAACACATCAGATAACAAACCATTAAAGCCTCCATTTTTTTTTTTTTT